GATAGATAGATGGATGGATAGATAGATAGATGGATGGATGGATGGATAGATAGATAGATAGATGGATGGATAGATAGATAAATGGATAAGTACTTTATCGATCCCAATTTGGGAAATGTTTGCGTTAAAAAACAAGGCAATGTACATAAGAGAAATGAAGGCACTAGAAATAAACAACAACAGCATGGGGAATGGTCCACATGTTTAGCATGAGGTGGAAAAACACACATTAGCTCTGACCTAGTTCAAAGCAGCTGAAGGGCCAAGGATGGGATCTGGATCGTGATTATCCACATGTGCAGATCTGGTTGGATAAAAAATCTGATCTGGGTCAAATGAGGCGATCTGATTTAGTCCCTGTTTTCTTGTGACCTTAGCCTTTCAATATGAGTTTGGAATCGGGACACCAACAGGAGGGAGGTGTAGACGTAAAAGCTCTGGAGTTTTATCCTGCTTAGCGCTTGTAGTATTCAGTGTTTCCCCTCAGGGAGTAACTGAGTGTTTGTCTCTGCAGGTTATTCTGGAATATGCAGCCGTGGACGTTCAGGTGGTCATCGCCGGCTGCAGCAGTAAGTCCTCCTCATGACTTTTCTCTGTGTTTGTTTGTATCTGTCAGGCTGGGATTCACCCATAAAATAATCCTTTATATACCCGTTACTCCCCCCAAAGATCTTAAAGAAAACGTAGCTTGTCTTGCACGCCCTGGATGGTAAATAAAGAATCAATGAAGAAGTAAATGAGGCGGTGTTTAACCACAGCAATAAAAACATCACCCGAAACCTGTAATTTAGTTTCCTCTCATATGTTGCAATATGCACCAATGGCAAGGCAAGTTCCTGTTATGTGAAACATCTACATCCTATTGAGCTTCTATTTTAATACAATCCCACACACACAGCTTCAGGCTTGTTCTCATGTGTGTGAGTTTGTGTTTGTATGCGTTCAGGTTTTTTTTTTAAATAGTATGTTTTTGTGAAAAGGCATGAGTTTGTAAAGTAGTGAGTATAGTTGAGACTTGCTTATTCCTCACGAGTTGTGAGAGTTTGTAAGCTGATGTTTTGATATACACTGAACAAAAATATAAACGCAACAGGTTATGTTGTGAATCGAGTGGCCTGTGTTCATCGTCCATAAAATACGCCTGCCCATACCATAACCCCACCACCACCATGGGCCACTCGATTCACAGCATTACCCTAACCCTCACACCAGATACTGACTGGTTTTCGGACCCCCCCAGACCCCCCCAATAAAGCAAAACT